GACTTACTGACGAAAGGACTAAAAGGTATATTTTTTATAATTCAAGGGTAAAAATGTGCAAAAATAGTTTAGGAACTAAAAATGTTCAAAATTAAAAGTTCAAGAATTAAAATTGACTTTTAACTAAATTAGACTAGTAAATCCCTTTCTTTCAAGAATAATACATTAATACTAGTTAGTTAAATCTTTTAAGGGTCTTTTTGGAGCATAAGTTACAAATGCTCTTATTTTATTTTCAACACCAATGTCAAGAATAATTTAATTGAACGACTAATGAAATTTAAGTCAATTTTTATTTTTTTTCATACAAATTAATGAACAAAAGTGCAATATTTCACTCTTGGCACAGTTAGAAAATTTTATCTTTTAATTAGTGAACATGAAAAAATTATTTTTATGTAGTGCTTATTTGGGTAAAGAAACAAAGCTAGTCCTTCAGATTAATTATTACATTCTAATTTCATTTTAACTTTGTTTTCATGCAAAAGACTAATTGCAGATTTTTTTCTTTTCTCTTCAACTGAAATTTTTTAAGGTTAAGGAGCAACCAAAACTTGAAAAAATCTTGAAGAATGCTGCCACGAAAGATAACACTGTTATTATAACAACTTTAAACGAAGCATGGGCAGCTCCCAATTCTTTACTGGACCTTTTCCTCGAGAGTTTTCGACTTGGGAATGGCACTGATAAGCTTTTGAACCATTTGGTGATCATTGCCATGGATCAAAAGGCATACGAGCATTGTCTTGTTGTGCATAAGCATTGCTTCACTCTTGTTACTGATGGGATTGATTTTCACCAAGAAGCTGGCTTCATGACTCCAATCTACTTGACCATGATGTGGAGGAGGACCGAATTTCTGCAACATGTCCTTGAGATGGGTTACAACTTCATTTTCACGGTAATTGTCAATTTATTTTTTGGTACATTGAGACTTAGTTGTTTTGGTATGGTAATTGTCAATTTATTTCTAAGACATAACCAAGAATAGGGATGGATTTAGAATTTGTATTTTGTTTTGACAAGTTTATGTATATAAAGTTTTGTTTGTCCATCCAGGAAAAAAATTAATCCATGGTGTAAAAAGACAAATTTTATTAAGAGGTTTGGTTTGGAGTTTTGTTAATAGTTATTAATTATTGTTTTAATCAAATAGATTAAATACTTTTAATTATAAATAATAACAAATATCAACCCTCAAATATCAACTATTAATTATTATTAGTTATATTTGAACAATTAATCCAAACACCCAATATTAATAATTCTTTTCATTAAAAGTACTTTTGTCTTTTTATACTATACATGAAAGCTTTTAGTTTAGGATGGACTTAAAAAATGATTGATAATTCTAATCTATATTTACGAAATGTTTAAAAGATTTGTTTATGTGTATATATGTATTTGAGGATTGACTTTTGGATGGTTTTTTCTTTCTCAGGATACTGATATCATGTGGTTTAGGGACCCATTTCCACAGTTCTATTCAGATGCTGATTTCCAGATTGCGTGCGATCAGTACACAGGAAAGCCCAATGATATGAATAATCGACCTAATGGAGGGTATATGTATGTAAAGTCAAATAATCGATCACGAGAGTTTTACAAATTTTGGACCACTTCACGGGAAACTTATCCTGGAACCAACGAGCAAGATGTGTTTAATATTATCAAGTTTGATCCTTACATCTCAAAAATTGGATTTAAGGTGAAGTTTTTAGATACTGCTTACTTTGGTGGGTTTTGCACACCCAGCAGAGATTTAAATTTGGTTTGTACAATGCATGCCAATTGTTGTTTTGGCTTAGATAACAAGCTTTATGACCTGAGACTTATGCTTCAAGACTGGAGGGCCTTTATGTCATTACCTAAGGATTTGAAGCATGAATGGATCGTTTCATGGAGGGTACCACAGAAATGCAAGTACTCAAAACCACCTAAAAAGTTGTAATGAGTTTTGCTCTAGTTTCTGTCTCCCTTCATGATTCCATTATGTCCTTATAGCGTGTCAATTTTAGAAGAGCTACTGAAGACTTGTATTAATTTGATGTATGGAATGTGTATAACACACCTCCTTAGGTACTTTTAGTCCCAGAGGAGTTTTGAAATAAAAATTATAGTAAAAGATTACAGTGGAAGTAGAAATACTTTTAATATAAAATATTTCCTTAAAAGAAAACCTACATTCAAATCAAATTAATATTTTATAAAAAGAAAATCAAATACCTATAAAGGAAAACTATTTTAACAAAAATATCAATATATATCTTACAAAAATGTCAAAATACTCAAAGTTATAAAGTGAGTTAGGCTAAGTTCATTTATAATTAATTTAAATATTATATACATAAAAGTAATTTACACAAAAATTTTATGAGGCCAATTGTTCTCCAAAGCTTTTCAAAATAACAAAAGTTGAATTATTGTTTTGGTAACACATTAATCTACCTCTATAGCAAAAGCATGAGATCCTAACTTCTACGTATAATGAGCATACAAAACCTCTATTGAAACTTCCAAGCAAGTGATTGCCACTCTAGTCTACAAATCTGAAATATGGGGGAATATCATGAGCTAAAAGCCCACTAAGTATGAAGTTTAAGCCATAAACTTGGGTACTAGGACCCTTAGACCTATACACACAAAGGGCATAATAAACAACTACACCAAGTCAAAAAATATTTGATTCAAATTCAAGTCACAACGTCATAGGCTCACAATGTCATGTCATAACAAAATGCATAGAACAAAAATCACACAATGCTATGAAGTCCACAGATGTGTGCCAGCAACACTTATACCGAAGCTAATCATGGCACTTATCTTACTGCACAGAGGTCTATTAAATACCCCGAAGGGTCCATTGAATACCTCAAGCTTTGAGCTTAGACCCACTTACTCCATAACCACAAGTACGTACACATGTCAAACAAGTTTAAAACATGTCCAAAATAATATTAGAATATTATTCCATTTAATGTTACCTTTAATCAGTGGCATGGAAAATTCAAGTTCATAATAATATCCACATACATAGCTCACATATTCCATAAAACTTCATATTGAAAGAAATTAAAGTATAGTGCGTAAACAGTAATTAGTGTGTGAACAGTAATTCATGCATGAACAGTAATTAAAGAGGTAGCAATTTACTTCCAGGCTCACGCACAGTTCCAGCAAGGTCCAATTAACTGGACAATCCTCATTTTGTCATGCAAAGAATACAAAGGAGCAACAACATATTATTTAACCATCAAATCCACATTAAATTCAAACATTAGAAATAAATTCTTCAACCTTATACAAGCCCTATATTATCCTATATTTCTAACAAAGTTTTCAATGCTCAAAAGTCTCTTAAACTAAGGTTGAAGATCAAATCTCACTAATTTAAGCTAGTTTCCATCATGTTATACGAAATCTTTAATCTATCCAAACTCTAATCCAAATTTATAACCAAAACTCATACTTACCTATGGGAATCAAGCACCAAATTGAAGAAAATAAGCAAAAATTGAAAGGAAATTCAAGGAGAGCACTGCAACTGAAGATAGCAACTTCTCCTTTAACCTTCACAGCTTGGAAGAGAAAGGGGAATAGGTTCAGGAGGTTAAAAGAAGAAATGAAGATTTGCTTTTCTAAAATCTTCTAGAGCCTCCGTGACTTGATTCATAAATTGCCACAAGTCTCAAATTTTGGGTAATATAGTTACATAGTCCCCAACTATCTCAAGATTTCACATAAGGTTCACATACTCTAAATCTAATCAATTTAGTCCCTAAAATTATAAAATAAAGGGTTCTAATTTTTAAATTATTCACCAAGGCATATGGGGTCTTACAATATACATGCACAAAAGCATTGCCTCAACAAGATTGAAAAATTACCTTGAACTAGCATCTCACTACTGCAGGAATGGCATTTCCGAACCGAAATATCGGTCCGTATATATAGGAAATCGGTCTGAATATATATATCCGGACCGATATTGGTCCTTATAGTTGATCTGAAAAAACCTGGTACGAATAAGTATAATATACAG